GGTTCCCCTTCCCGCCTTCCCAACTCCGCTTAGGCGGGAGAGGACCCCAAGGCCCGGCGGGGTGGGGGGCGGGACGAGGCGAGGGCCCTGGGATCCCAGTTTGGACGCGGGAGTGATGAAGGTGGTGTGCATGGTCGTGGGTGGGGTCCGGGTGTCTGCGGGGAGGGGGGCGTATGGGGATGGTGCGCGCCCTTCTCGGGCGCTCCGGCTGTTCCCATTCCACCCCAATGCGTTTTTCTCCGGCAGGATGGGGCATGTCACCCTCCGGTCGCCCGGGGGTTTGGGACCGCCGCAAAGAACCGCTAGAACTCGGCGAAGACCCTGGATCCCTGGATGTTGGGGGGCCAAACTTCGCATTCTCTTTGGGCTATGAAGGTAGAACGAGGCCGAGGCGAGCTAAGGTCCAGCCTATGCTGTTTGTCCTGGGAGACGTGTGAGGCTCCTCTTTTTTGTTTGTTTGTTTTTCAGTATTTACACAATTCCGCTTACTGCTTCGCCTCATCCAGTACTCTGGTTTTGTGCGTGGAAAATCCTCTGGTGCCAGCAAAGTGTTAGGAAGCGGCTTTACCTAAATGGTAGAGCGTGCTGTACCAATTCAAAGGAGTTCAACAATAAAATTAATTTGGCACTTGGTCCCTGCAGTAACTGGTGGGCTGCCATATTTTTCCAATTAAGAAAATATGTGACATGCGTAGAATCACATATTTAAGCAAGCAATTAAGTTGTTTATAACACGGTCTGTTCCTGTTTAGTCCAATAAGTGGAAATTTGGGGGCGAAGTAAAGATTATATTAAGTCTATTAATCAACTGGAAATGTGGACATCTTTTTCTTTGAAGTCCCCAAAGTTTGAGAGGTATCCATGGTGGATGACATAAAATAGACAGCCTTTCACCCCTTGGGCAGTAGCTCCAGTGTGTTTTCATATTTAAATTTTATTGCACTGTGAGTGAAACTATTTTATTAACTTGGCTGTGAATGTTTTCTACTGTGTTACCCACTTCCTTCCAGGAGGAAGGACACATGTCCACAAAACGAACTCTGAGACCTAGAAATGCTGGCATCGCTTAAGATCACCACAGTAAGAATGGCAGGCAGGGCTGAGATCTGGGGGCCATTCTTTCGCCTCCAGACGCTGCACCAGGTTCTCCTAAATTTGGAAAGTGTTGGCATAGCGGTCTGACGCTTCAGGGCAGCCTCCTGAAGCCTGGGTGAGGCCGCAGCTCTGGGCCCTGGGCACAGCAGCGGGCAAGACGGAGAGGTTAAGGTCTGAACCCGGGGTAGGCGCAGTCCTGGGATCGCTCATTTCCAAGCGCAGGGCAAGTCTTAATTTCTCTGCAGGCCGGCTCTTTTGGAAATGATGTTTAACTCCCATGCTGATCTGGAACCTGGGCTGGGGAAAAACTGCCAACAGCCTGGACTATCCAAACTCAGCTTTGATGCTTTTAAAACACACACACACACCAAGTCTCCGACTCAGGCGCAGAGGATGAAGAAGGTTCAGAGGGCAGTTTCTGTTGTTGAGGTGGCTCCCCTGATCACTGCCACTTGGCCTTAATGTACAGCGGTTGGCAAAAGTAGGCTTACAGTTGTGAGTACGTGAACGGTTTATTCTCGTCTTGCTATTTATTAATTATCGCATTGTTTGTGTGTATTGCAACTGTACACCTACTTTTGCCCACCCCTGTGTATAGCCATATCCCTTGGGCATCTCTGTGTGCTCACATTTGCAGAGCTCCCGTTTTTAAAGGGAGGAGAAGAAAGGGCAGGAAAATAGCAACGGATGTGTGCAAACCCAGAGCAAGGAAAAAAAAATGCATATTTTATTAAACATCCGAGCTGGTGGATGCATGAAAAGGCTTTGAGCAACCAATAGAAACCGCGGATCGCGAATGTTCTGCCTGAACCTGTTGATCTCTGCGGGTTGAAGCATTTGGGGTCCAGTCGGCCTGTCCGATGGGGAGAGACAAGGCGAGAACCGAGGCGGCGGTCAGTCCCGCGAGCCCTGGGAGGCTAGTTTTCTGCCTCTCGCCTTCTAGCCCGGCGTGGGCGGCGAGCCCTCCAGGCTGCCAACATGGCGTGGACGCCTCTGCTCAGGCGACA